GGTGACGTCATGCAGAAGCGGCGGAAAGGGAGGCGGGGCCTGCCCGCGCGGCGCGCGCGCGCGGCGGGACCCTCCCTCTCTGACCAATCAGCAACGGGCGCGGGGACGAGGAAGTGCTGTGAGGAGGGAGGAGCCTTAAAAGGGTAACGGCACCGACTAGCCCTGGGCGACACCTTAAAGGGGCAACGATGCGGCGGGGTCCCACCTCCCCCGGCCCCCTGACCTTGTTTCAGTGACCCCCAGTGACCTCCCAGTGCTCCCAGTAACCCCAGTGCCCACCTCAGGGCTTATCTAGAGACCCCAGTTACCCTTTCCCAGCAGTCCCAGTATCCCACGGGTGATCTCAGTGGTCTCAGCACTCACCTCTGGGGTCCCAGTGACCCCAGTGCCCACCAAGCAGGGGGTGTCCATGACACCAGTAGCCACCCCAGAGTCTCAGTGAACCCGGTACTCCCCCCACACTGCTCCCAGTTACCCCAGTAGAGCTCTGGTACTGTTCCCAGTCACCCCATTACCTACACAAGAGGAGATCCCAGTCACCCCAGGACCTCCAGGCTGCTCCCAGTCACCCCAGTATTCACTCAGCTGGGTATCCCCATGATGCCTGCAATTCAGCCCAGAGTCCCAGTGATCCCAGTACTCATCTCAAAGAGGGTCCCAGTGACCCCAGTACTGCTCATACTGGTCCCAGTCACTCCAGTACCTACTCAAAAGGGGGTCTAATTTGCCCCAGTGTCCCCACACTGCTTCCAGTGACACCAGTATTCACCCAAGGGGTGGAGGCCCACGACTCCAGTAGCCACCCCAGAGTCCCAGTGACCCCAGTACTCCCCCACACTGCTCCCAGTCACCCCAGTGCTGCCCATAACAGTCCCAGACACCCTTTTGCCCAGAAAGTGCCAGTTACCTCACCGCTCCCAGTGACCCCAGTACTCACCCAAGCAGGGGGTCCCCATGGCTTCAGTAGTCACCCCAGCATCCCAGTGACCCCAGTACCCCCCCACTGGTTCCAGTGCCCACCAGCAGCAGCACACTCAGCCCCTGTACTGTCACCCCTGTAGTCTGACACACTCCATTTGGGTGCATACTGGGATACTGGGGTTACTGGGAGCAGTGTGGTGGTGCACTGGGGCCACTGGAACTCTGAGGTGACTACTGGCATCATTGGGACCCCCTGCTTGGGTAGGTACTGGGGTCACTGGGAGCAGCGTGGAGGTACTGGAATGACTGGGAGCTCCTCTTGTGTGGGTAACGGGGTGACTGGGACCATTATGGGCTGTACTGGGATTACTGGTAGCACTGTGGGGGGAGTACTGGAGTCACTGAGGTTCTGGTGTGACTACTGGTGTCCTGGGGACCCCTGCTTGGGTAGGTACTGGGGTGACTGGGACTGTTATGGGCAGTGCTGGGGCGACTGGGAGCAGTGTGGGGATACTGGGGTGACTGGGACCTCCCCTTGTGTAGATACCGGGGTGACTGGGATCATTATGGACTGTCCTGGAATGGATGACTCAGGGTGGTGTGGTGGTTCTGGGGGTGGCTGGACTGTTTTGGGCAGTACTGGGGTGACTGGGAATAATGTGGGAGTAATACTGGGGTCGCTGAGATTGTTATGGGCAGTACTGGGATCACTGGGAGCAGTGTTGGGGGTAATACTGGAGTCACTGGGAGAAGTGCGAGGGCAGCACTGGTGTGACTTGTGACTGTCATGGGCAGCACTGGTGTGACTGGGAGTAGTGTGGGGGTGGCACTGTGGTCACTGGGAGAACTGTGGGGATATTGGGGTCACAGAGTGTTATGAGCAGCACTGGTGTGACTGGGAGCAGTGTGTGGGTACTAGTGTGACTGGGAGCAGTATGGGGGTACTGGTGTGACTGGGACCGTCATGGACAGCACTGGTGTGACTGGGAGCAGTATGGGGGTACTGGTGTGGCTGGGAGCAGTACCGGGGTACTGGTGTGACTGGGAGCAGTACAGGGGTACTGGTGTGACTGGGACCGTCATGGACAGCACTGGTGTGACTGGGAGCGGTATGGGGGTACTGGTGTGACTGGGATCATCATGAACAGCACTGGTGCGACTGGGAGCAGCGCTGGCACAGCACTGGTCTAACTGGGAAGCCCCCTCTCCCCTCTAGCCCCCGCCCCGGTATCATCCCCCCCACCCCTTCCCCGCCCAGGAGGCGGCTCCGCACGGGGCGGGAGGGGGTCACCGTTCCCCCCCCGCTCCCTCCCAGTCCCTCCCATCCCTCCCAGTCCTCCCTCCCGCCCATCCGCTCCCGGCGGGCCCGTCCCGCGGCGCCTCTCGGTCCGTCCCGGGCCATGGCGGAGCCCCCGCAGGACTCGGACCCGGGTCCGGCGCTGCCGCTGCGGGCTCGGCTCAGCTTCGCGTGCGGGCACTTCCTGAACGACTCCTGCTCGGCGCTGTGGTTCACGTACCTGCTGCCCTTCCTGCACGCCGTGCTGGGCTACGGGCACGGCGCGGCCGGGGCGCTGCTCCTGGCCGGCCAGGCGGCCGACGGGCTCTGCACGCCCCTGCTCGGCTTCGAGGCCGACCGGGCCCGCGGCTGCGGCCGCTGCGGGAGGAGGAAGGGCTGGCACCTGGCCGGTGGGTGCGGGGGGCCTGGGGGACCGCGGGGGGGACAGGGAGGAGAAGGGGCATCTGGCCCCTGGTGGGTGCAGAGGATGCGGGGGGGGACTGAAGGGAGCAGAGTGGGTGCGGAGTGGACGGGGGGTGGCCCCGGGAGAACCTTTGTGGGGTGCCCTGGGTGGAGGTGACCCGGTGGGAGCTTTCTAGGATGCTCTCCGTGGAAAAGGGGTGGCCCCAGGGAAGTGTTTCTGGGGTGCCCTGGGTGGCTCTTGGGCAATTGTTTTGGGGCGTCTTTGTTGGGGGGCATCCAGGGGAGGAGCCGGGAAGCCCTTCTGGGGTGTCTGGGTTGGGGGACGTCCAGCAGAGCCTTTCTGGGGTGCTCTGAGTGGAGGCGACCCAGTGGAATCTTTCTAGGATGCAATCAGTGGAAAAGGGATGGCCCCGGGGAAGTGCTTCTGGGGTGCCCTGGATGGAGATGGGTGGCCCTTGGGCAAGTGTTTTGGGGTGTCTTTGTTGGGGGGCATCCAACATTTCTGGGATTCTCCAAGTGGAGAGTGGGGTGCCTGGGGTGGAGAGAGGTGACCCTTGGGGGGCTTTGCTGGGGTGCCTTGAGTGGGGAACACTCTACTGAGGTGCCCTGGGTGGAAAGGTGTGGCTCCGGGGAGCCTTTCTAGGGTGTCTGGATTGAGGGACATCCAGGGGAGCCTTTCTGGGATGCTCTAAGTGGAAAGGAATGCCTCCAGGAGAACCTTTCTGGGGTGTCCAGGGTGGATGGGGGTGACTTGGGGGGGTGTTTTGGGGTGCTTTTGTTGGGAGGGGAACCTTTCTGGGGTGCCTGGGGTGGGGGACACTTGGGGCCCTTTGCTGGGGGATGCTGAGTGGAGAGGGTTGGCCCTGGGGGTTCTGCTGGGGGGCCATGGGTGCAGATGAGAGAGCCTTTCTAGGGTGCAGGATCAGCCCCAGGGTACCTTTCTGTGCTGCCCTGGAGTGGGGGAACAAGACCAAAGGTGTCTTTCTGGGTTGGGGGGGTCAGCCTTGGGGATATCCTGGAAGGAGGAGGAACCAGGGAGCCTCCCTGAAGATGAGTGGCCCTGAGGGAGCCTGTCTGGGGTGGGGGTCGGCCCCAGGGCAGCTGGGAAGCCCCCTGCCTGGAGGGGGAACAGCCCACGTGGCAGTGAGGTGAGGGCAGGGTCAGGCAATGCCCTCCTGGCTGGAGAAGGGCAGCCTCAGGGATGAGCAGAATTGGGTGCCCTGGGGTGGAAGGGAACAGCCCCCCCATGGAAGGGGGGCTGCCCTGGGGTCTTTCTAGGGCACCCTGTGTGGAGGGTGAGGGGGCCCTGGTGCAGCAGCAGTGCCCTGTGTGGGAGCAGATGGGTCTGGGGTGCCCTGTGAGGAGGGGGCAGCCCAGAAGGTTCCTTTCTGATGTGGAGGGACAACATCCCCACAATCCCCCATGGCAGTGAGGTGGGATGAGGCTGCTCCATGTGTAGGGGGACAGCGGGATGCTCTGGCATTCCCCAGGCACAGATGGCTGAGCCTGGATGGGGAAAGGGCTCTGTGGTGTCCATGTCCCACCCCAGGGGTGGCTGCAGCCCCTGTGGGGCCAATCACTGTCCCGTGGGCCGTGCCCATGTGAGTGGCAGCCCGTTGGGGTGAGAGTCATGTGCTCAGCCCTCAGAGCAAAAACAGGACTGACAGTAAAACCTGGGCTTGCCCAGGAGCCCAGGTGTTTCCTGGACAGCTCTCTGTGTCCCCAGGGATGGCCCTGGGGCACGGGGCCCTTGGCTGTGCTGGGGTGGGCACCCCATGGGCCGGCAGTGGGTGTCCAGCCCCTGGGATGCACGGGAGGCACCGGCTCACAGGAATTACTGGAAGGGTCTTGTCTCCTCTCGTGCC